ACGAGGTTCGTGGCCCCATGGTTGGCTCCACAGAAGGCCCCAGTGGCATGGGTGCGCATGCGTGACGGCGCCGACACTCCCCTCACGACCATCGTAGCTTCCATTGGGAGCTCCACCGCAGGCAACAGTGGAAGGGTTCGCATGCGTGGCGGCGACCGTCTCGGCACAATCCTTACGAGGATCGTGGCCTCATAGGGAGCTCCACCGCAGGCTCCAGCGTTAGGGTTCGCATGCGTGACGGCGTCAATTTCGGCACACCCTTCACGAGAATCGTGGCCACCTATGGAGCTCCACCAATGGCCGCAGCGGCAGGGTTCGCACGCGTGACGTCGCCCACTTCGACACCACTCACGAGGATCGTAGCTCCCAATTGGAGCTCCACCGCAGGCCCCAGTGGCAGGGTTCGCATTCGTGGTGACGTCCATTTCGGCACAGCCTTAACGAGTATCGTGGGCCCAGAGGAGCTCCACCGCAGGCGGCATTGGCAGGGTTCGCACGCGTGACAGCGCCAATTTCGGCACACCCCTCACGAGGATCGTGGCCGCATAGGGAGCTCCACCGCAGGCCCCAGTGGAAGGGTTCGCATGCGTGACGGCGCCCGTGTCGGCACATCCCTCACGAGGATCGAGGTCCCATAGGGAGCTTCACGGAAGGCCCAAGTGGCAGGGTTCGCATGCGCGACGGCGCCTATTTCGGTACATCCCTCACAAGGATCGAGGCCCCATCGGTAGCTCCACCGCAGGCCCCACTGGTAGGGTTCGCACGCGTGATGTCGCCCATTTCGGCAGACCATTCACGAGGATCGTAGCCCCCAGCGGGAGCTCCACCGAAGGGCCCACACTGCAGGGTTTGCATGCGTGACGTTGCGTTGTTCCACGGGGAGCGCCTCCACCGAAGGCCCCAGTGGCAGGATCGTAGTCCCATAGAGAGCTCCACCGAAGGCGCCAGTGGCAGGGTTCGCATGCCGAGTCTCCGAAATCTCGCGCCCCCCTCGCCCGTGCATGGGCCCCAAACCGTAACGGGGTGCCCCAGGAGGGCCCCAGTAGGCGCCCGGGGAGCTTTCGATGGCAGCGCGCAAGCAACGGCATTCGCCGTGGCGCCAAGCCAGCCCCAAGAGGCCCACATGGCTTCTCAGAGTCGCCCAAGAGCCCCCCCCAGAGACTTACCAAAAGGCTCCGAATAGCGTCGCCGAGAAGCCCAAAGGAGACCAAAGCCCCGCCCCCCAAGTAGCCCCCCAGAAAGCTCGGTTTCTGTATTCGAGAACCGCCCCTGCATTCCTCATTGGCACATTGGCAATCTGCGGTGCGCGTTCCTCGGGCGCGGCTAGAACCTCAGCGCGTGCGAAGCGTGCGCGCATGGTTCTAGCCGGCGACCGGTTCCCTGGGCCAAGGGGCGGCCCATTTTCCTTGCCCCAGCGTCACAAGCTTAGTCCCGGGAGTCAGCGGCCTTTTTTGAGTGGTTTGGGAATTTGTCTGGACCTCGACAGCCTTCCTCGGCGAGCCCAGATGACGCTCAGAGGCCGCAAAGACGGTTCCAAGACGGTCCAAGATGATCGTAAACAGGCCCAAGAGGCCCTCAAGGCGGCGGAAGACCGCCCGAAGAGAGGTCCGAGAGGCCTTCCAGGAAGCCTCCAAGAGACCTAAGCTGTTGAAGAACGATAGGTTTGCGTGCAATTTCAACATTCTTGCCTAGTTGTTCTTAAAAGCGTCAAAGACGGCTGACGTGACCACCAATGTTGCTTTTCAGGCGGCTCATGAAGCCCCCAAGAGGGCCCCAAGACGGCGCAGAACCACTTCAAGAGGGCCCAAGAGGCCCCCAACACAAGCTCAAGAAGCTCCGATGACAGCCCGAAGACGCCCCAGAAAGCCCCCAGATTGCCCACGGAGGCATCCAAAACGGCATCCAGAACGGCATCCGAAGGCGTCTGTCGGGCTACGAACGCTCTGAGACAGCCAAGGAGGCCCCAAGGAGAACTCGAGAGGCCCCCAAAGCGCTCCGAAGGGGCCCCCAATAGACACCACATAGCTTTCAAGATGCCCCGAGAAGCTCCCCCAGAAGATCCAGAGATGCCCCACAGGAGCCCGACAAAGACGACCGACCATGCTCTTGAGGAAGTCCCCAGAGCTGCCCAGTGGCTCAGAAGAGACTTCAAGACGGCGGCCCAAGAAGTAGTTTGGGTAGCCCAAGGGGCTTTCGCGGCGTCCGCGAAAGGTGCCCCCAAAGGGCACCCTTTTTGCATAGCTTCGTTTTGAATTTGTCGGGTGTACCCGTGTCGTTGATTAGTCTCTGTTGGATTCGCGGTTTTGCTTGTTCTGCAGCTAGATTTTCAAGGCAACTGTGGTGAGTGCAGCTGTGAGCTGGCCACGGGCTGGGGCGTACTAGAACCTAAGCGCGCGCGAAGCGCGCTCCACGAGCATTGGAGCGACACGAAGCGAGAAACTAACGAAGCTATGCACGCTGTTCAATGCACTTCTCCTGCAACTCCGCTCGAATCGTAGTCCAGAGCGTTCCTGGAGGAGGAGGAACGGGGAGGAGACAACCACGTAACATCTGGGGAAGTCTCCAAAGACTTTGAAGGCTGATGCCGTCGACAACGACGACGACGACGACGACAGCTATGGCGACGGCGACGACAGCGGCCATTGCAGTGACAACGAGGGCGGCGAGAGCGCAGTAAATGGCTCGCACCATGTAGGAGACAGTTTTATAAACTTGTCAAGGCGCTGCGAACAGTTGTGAACAACATGTGTACACGCACGCAGCGGTGAACTTGCCAGGGGTCGGTGCTTACTAGAACCTGAACGCGCGCGAAGCGCGCGCGTGGTTCTAGTGTATATATATAGAGATAGAGAGAGAGAGAGAGAGAGAGGAAGAGTGAAAGAGAGAAAGAGAGAGAGAGAGAGAGAAAGAGAGAGAGAGAGAGAGAGCAGTCGGCTGTGCCGCGGCGTTTCCTTTGCGCACGTGAGCTGCGCGAGCCAGGGCCCGGGAGTGCTGTGACTCGGGGCGACCCGCGCCACCGCGGCCGTCGCACCAGTTCTGAGCCGCCAGCACAGACCAGGCGGCCAGAGGTCGAAGCAGCGGACCGCTGCCCGCGACGGGCCCAGCGGCGTTCGGGCCCAGGCCTGCTCGTCCCCGTCGGCCAGGCGCCCTGCCATCGCCCGAGGACGCCGCGGTCCGCGGGCGCGGGACCTCCATGGGACGTCGCGCCCGAGACATCGCCCAGAGCCGCCAGATCGCAGAGATTCTCGATTTTCGTCCGTACCCGAGGTTATCCTCCTCCTGCTCCTCCTCCTCCGCTTCGTCTCACTCGTTGTCCCGTCCAGAGCATCTTCATGCTGGTCCTGGCTGTCCTCGGCTATCCCTGGGCACTGCCAGACGGCCCCGGCGCGAGGCGCGACGCTGCCGGGGGAGGGGGCGGCGGGGCGCCAGCGGACGTGAGTGGAACGCGCCAGGCGAAGGCGCCGCGTGCACGGCTGTGCGCGCACGGAGCTGAGCCTGCGCGCACTCTGGTCGGCTGCGCCAGAATCGGTGTATGTGCATAGTTTTTTTTCCTCTAGCCCCGTCTCTTTGAACGTATTGCGGCCGGCGTCGCGTTGCTGGGGCGTTGTTGCCCGTGGCTGCGGTGGCGCCGTATCCCCACCCCCCACCATCCTTCCCTCAATCCTTCTCCCCCGCTCCGCCTTCCTCCTTCCTCCTTTCCCGCCCCCTCTCTCGTCATCCTTCCCCCGCCCCCCCCTTTCCTCCTCCCCCCCAGTCCTCCCCCCGGTCCCTTTTCCCCCTTCTCTTGCGTTCCGCATCCCACTGTTTTGACACAGACCCGCGGGGCCCGAACCGAACCGAACTCTTTGCCCTCCTCCCACTGTGCTGACAAAGGCACCAGCGGGGCCCGGGCGGAACGATCGCGCAAAGGACTGCGTTACATACTTGGTGCAAGCTTTCGTGTCCCGGCCGCATGGCCGATGGCGTCTGCCCTGGACTCGGGTGCAACGTCGCGGGCATTTGGGCTTTGATTCGGGGGGTGCCTCCCCGTCCTCGGGCATGCTCTCGGCGGGGCGCGGCTGTCCCCAGGGTCCTTGATTTGCCCTGGGTGGGGCACGTTTCGTCCGCCCCTGGGGGCGCAACAAACTGGCACCTGAGCGTGAGCGTGCGCACTCGTTATCCCCCGTGTGGGGTACCAAATGCGCACGGCCTAGTCAGTTCGGACTCGAAGCTGTGTATGCCGTTTTTGTATTCCCCCCCCCTCGGTTTCAGGAATTCCCGCCTCAGGACCGGGACGCATCTCGACAGCATCGTCGCTACGCCGCACCTCCCCCTCTACCCCCCCGTCGGCGAGGGCCGTCATTACGCTTCGCCCGTGAGGACGGTCACTTGCCTTCACACCCCTCGCAGCTTCCATCAATGGGGCTGCTTGGGTTCCCGCCCCCACCAGTCAACCTTCAATTCTGCCATAAATTGGCACTGGAGGGGGACGAATACTCCTTTATGGACCCTCGGCCAACGAAAACATCCATAAATGAACGCCGAAGCGTACCTCCACTGTCTTGACACCGTAGCCCAATAACACCAGACAATCAATTGCTCATCTTCCTCCTTCCCCTCCTCGTTTTCTCCTCCCCTCCTCCTCCTCCTCCTCCTCCTCCTCCTCCTCCTCCTCCTCCTCCTCCTCCTCCTCCTCCTCCTCCTCCTCCTCCTCCCCCCTCTTCCCCCTCTTCTCCCATCCCTCCCTGTGTGTGGAGTCTGCTCATATCACCTTTTTATCCATCTATCCTGCTACCGTCTTGGCTCAAGGTATTGGAAAGTGGTACCGCGTTGCTTGCCCGCGGCGCATGGGGATCGGGATTGCTGCCCTCTCCCTAACCTTCTTCTGCCTAATGGTATCTCATTGGGTTCGACACGTCGGTCGCCAACCTACATCCACACTCCCTGCCTCCGTGCCCGCCCCTTCTGCTGCTGCGCCCCTCCCCCGTGACGGGCCTGCTTCTGCTCCCGGACGCCCGCAGGACAGTGGCGAGGCGCCGCTGCACCGCGCCGTGCACGCCGGGCGGGAGGACGCCGTCCCGCGCCGGAAGGTGTCAGAGGCGACGGCAGGGGCGAATAGCCCAGGGGAGAGCAATACATGTACCCAGGGGCGCCGACGATCTATGTTTTCGAAAAGGCTCCCGGGCGAATGCATGGAATGCCCGCCCCGAGGCTATTCGCCCTTATCGTCGCCGCCGAGGATGGGGGAAGGGGAGGAAGAGGGGGAGGGAACGCCAGGGGGAGACTACCAAGGGGAGGGGGGGAGGATGGGAGGGGGGGAGCGAGGGAACGAGGGAACGATGGGGGCGAGGGAGCGAGAAGAAGAGGAGGGAGGGACGAAAAACACCAGGAGGAGGAGGAGGAGGAGAAGGAAATGGAAGAGGAGAAGGAGGAGGACGAAGATGAGGAGGAGGAGTAGGAGCAAGAGGAATAATAATTGTTATGATCCTATTGTTGGTCATAGTATGACTACCACTACTACTGCTACTACTACTACTACTACTACTACTACTACTACCACTACTACCACTACTACCAGTACTACTACTACTACTACTACTACTACTACTACTACTACTACTACTACTACTACTACTACTACTACGGCTACTACTACTACTACTACTACTACTGCTACTACTACTAGTACTTCTACTACCACGACGACGACGACTACTATTACGACTACGACTACCACTACTACGATTACTACTACTCCGACTACTATTATTACTACTACTGCAACAACAGCGACTACTACGTTTCGTACCAGTACAACGACTACTACCACCACTACTGCTACTATTATCAGTATTGTTACTACTGCTGCTATTAAGACTAACACGAAGAGCACGCATACACATAACACTCTTTCATTAGATCCTTAGCAGTCATCCGAGACCACAATAAAGATACCTATATCCAAATACGAATGCGAATCGTACTACTAGTTTTATTCGTAATACAAGTAGTGGTACGAGTACATAGAACCAGCACTACGACTAATAATGCGATTAATCCTAAACATAAGAAGCACTAGTGCTAATACAATATCAAACAATACATTCACATAATACGAATGATAACAAACACGTAAGACTACGAATCCTATACTACTAAGGTGCATCATGAAAATACGGATAGTCTTGCTACTAAATGATAATACTGATATTATGGTTCACGGTACGAATCGGGACATCGATAATAACAATAACATTGAGCATCTTAATACTGATACCACGACTAATGATGCTGATAACCAACACATAGTTCACTATTGGTGATGCTCGTGACGGTACTAATACCATCAACAATATAAATATCATTCATGCGGGTATTTATAAGACCAGCGTTATTCAGCATAGACACGAATATTCCATTATAGTAGTACTAATTCTGGGAAGAGGATGCGGATACTGATGGCTATGATGCTGTTGATGATCATGATGGCGATGATGGTGATGATCCTGATGATGCTGATGCTGATGTTGATGCTGCTGATGAGGATGCTGATAATGCTGATGATGTTGATGATGCTGCTGATGATGATGCGACGGAGGAGGGAGACCAGGAGGAGGAGGAAGAGAAGGAGGAGGATGCAGAAGAGGAGGAAGAGGAGGACGAGAAGGAGGAACAGGAAGAGGAGGAGCAGGGGGATGAGGTGGGACACTGGCGCGCAAGGTTTTACAGACAGAGGGAACGAAGGAGGGACGGAGGGACGGCGTGAGGGATGAATTGAGAGGGGGGGAGGGACAACGGCAGGTGTAGGAGGAGGTAGAGGCGGAGGAGCAGGAGCAAGCGCGGGAGCAGGAGCAGGAGGAGGAGGAGGAGGAAAAGGAGGAAGAGGAGGAGGAGGAGGAGCAGGAGGAGGAGGAGGAAACGGAGGAGGATGAGGAGGAGGAGAGGGAGGACGAGGAGGAGGAGGAGGAGGATGAGGACATGAGGAGGGGGGTGGTGCAGGAGGAAAGGAGGAGGAGGAGAAGGAGGAGGATGAGGAGGAGCAGGATGATGATGATGAGGAGGAGGAGGAGGACCAGTGTCAACCCAAGAGTCATCAACGATGTTGGAATTAACCCTCCCTCCAAGCTCCCTCTTCACTGGTCCCTACAACGGTTCATTTCAATTGAGGGGACTGTCTTGTTGGAAGACAACTGCCTGAAGATCCTGAAGCGTGCCAACACATTGTTCTCGGGATTACAACGCCACGTATCAACCTGACTGCTGTGTTTTGGCGATCGGGAATCGTGCCATAACGCCATTCTTGGGTTTTTAACCGTGAATCAACATAACTGTTGCACCCGCATAATTCCGAATCCTTCCCAAACGCCATTTTCGGTGAGTTGATCATGGGAACCCGTGACTTGCAATGTTTAAACCGAATGTGCGCGGCGCTAAGGCGAGAGCCACATTTTGAAAAGGAACCGCCCTCAATCTGTGAAGCTTTTGCAAATTGTTACAACGAATGTGCGCGGCGCTAAGGCGAGAGCCACATTTTGAAAGCGACCCGCCCTCAATGCGTGAAGCACTTGCGTTTTTTACAAAGAATGTGCGCGGTGCTAAGGCGAGAGCCACATTTTGACAACGACCCGCCCTCAATCCAGGAAGCTCTGCATTTTTTGCAAAGAATGTGCGCGGCGCTTAGGCGAGAGCAACATTTTGCAATCCACCCGCCCTCATTCTGTGCAACCCCTGCAAATTGTTACAACGAATGTGCGCGGCGCTAAGGCGAGAGCCACATTTTGAAAGCAACCCGCCTTCAATCCGTGAAGCTCTGGCAAATGCTTAAACGCGCAGCGCTAAGGCGACAGCCACATTTCGAAAAACCGCCCGCCCTCTATCTGTGAAACTGTTGCTCCTTTCTTTAATTTTCAGAGTCATAAGTGGCTAGAAAGTCTCAGGCGAACCGCCTGGCCCATTTCAAAAGCTGGCCTCGGGATGCGACGGGGAGGATTTATCTATAAGGAGAAGGAATGGAGGAGAAGGAGGAGGAGGAGCAGGAGGAGGGGGGTGGAGGAAGAGGAGGAGGCGGAAGAGGAGGAGGAGGATGTGGAGGAGGCGGAGGAGGAGGAGGAGGACAAAACAGAAGCATGATACGCATACAAATAATAATATTCCGGGGTGGAAGAACAATAATAATAGGACGGCTCTGACGAAGAAGAACAACAGTACTAACACTATCAGTACGAACGCGAAACGCAAAAGTACTACGACTAACACCACTGATGATATCAATGATAATATGAATGTGGGGCGCAATAATCATACTTATAGTAACAACCACACGGGCAATATTGTTAGCACTATCAATAATCACACGGCCAAAACTAACAGTAGTAATGCCTGAATAACAATTCATACTTGTATGAAGGATAGTAATGATGATCATAGAATGAATATTCAGGTTTTCTACTACTCCGAATTACACATGTTGTGGATATTGATAATGCTAGTGCTAATCATACCTAGTATTCGATCAACTTCAGTGTTATCAATGATGGTACGAACACTGCTCGGAAGTATAGGCATATTCGCAGTACTATTACGTATCAGTAATACTATTCACTAGTTGTGTAAGTGGAGTGATGCTACTACTATTAATATTCATAACACTTACGCGTGTATATGTATATGTTTAGGTATATGTCTGTATATGTCTGTATATGTTTATGTATTTGTATAGGTATATGTATATGTATATGTATATGTAGATGTGTATGTATATGTATATGTATATGTATATGTATATGTATATGTATATGTATATGTATATGTTTATGTATCGGTATATGTATATGTATATGTATAGGTATGTGTATATGTATATGTGTATATATATGTATATATATGTATATGTATATACATATGTATATGTATATGTATATGTATATGTATATGTATATGTATAGGTATAGGTATAGGTATAGGTATATGTATATGTATATGTATATGTATATGTATATGTATATGTATATGTATATGTATGTGTATATGTATATGTATATGTATATATATATATATATATATATATGTGTATATGTATATGTATATGTAGGCATATATATATATATATATATACACACACATATATCCCTGGGGGCGAGGCCGGGGGCCCCAGGACAGGTGCCTCCACCCCCCATGGCGGGACCGGGGCTCATTTTCCCTGTGTTTTTTACAGGGTTTCCGCGTCCTGGGCCTCGGAGGTCGCCGCCTCCGACCCCCCATGGGCCAGGAGGGCCTCCAGAGGCTCCCAAGACGACCCAAGCGGGCCCCGAGTCGCCGAAAGACCGCTCTAGGACGCCCAAAAGATAGGCCCAAGACGGCCCGAGAGGCGCCGCAAGGCACTCCACGACGCTTCGAGACGCCTCTCCAGAGCGCTTCCAGAGGCCGAAATCGTCAAGTTTACGAAGGTTTTCGACCGATTTTGGCCTTCCAGTCTTTTCGGCTGTCCGACGTTCCAAGATGGCTCAACAGGCCCCCAAGAGCGCCCCAAGACGGCCCAAGAGGGCCCGAAGACGGCCCCAGAGTCGCCCAAGACAGCCCAACAGAGCCCCAAGACGGCCCCAAGATGCGCCCAAGAGGGGGACCACGACTCCAAAATTCGACCCTCCCGCTTGAAGAGTGCCCCAGGAGGCCCCAAGGAGCCCCCAAGAGGCCCCAGGAGGCCCCCAAGAGGCACCCAGGAGGCCCAAACGAGGCCTAAAGAGGCCACAAAACAGCCCCGAGGAGGCCCCACAACGGTCCCAAAACGGCTACCGAGAAGCTGCGAAACTGCCTTCACGACGTCCCCGACAGGCCAACCACGAGATCCAAAGCAACACCCATGAGGCCTCTGACCCACCACCCAGGGCACGGTGGCGGGAGCAGTGACAGCACTTGTGCACAGCATGTTCCGGCGGGAGCCTTCCGGAACACGCTGCAGGAGGAGGAGGATCAGAGAGAGAGAGAGAGCTGGAGTGGGAGGAGGAGGAGGGGGACGAGGAGGAGGAAGAGGCCTCCCAGACAGCTCCAAGATAGCCGAAGAGGCTTCCAA